ACTACGACTACTACGACTACTCCTAATCCTACTACTCCGACTCCTACGCCTGCTAATTACTGCTATTGCTACTGGTACTGCTACTGCTACTGCTACCAAGACCACCACCACCACCACCACCAGCAGCAGCAGCAGCAGCAGAAGCAGCAGAAGCAGCAGCACCAGCACCAGCACCAGCACCAGCACCAGCACCAGCACCAGCACCAGCACCAGCACCAGCACCAGCACCACTTACGACTTCTTCCACTTCCTCCACTCTCCCCCCGCTCCTCCTCCTCTCTCACGCCGTCGCCTGCCCTGGGGCCATCTTCGGATCGAAGGCGACTGCCTCAGCAAAAAACGTACGCTCTGAAGCTGACAGATGTGGTACCCAACCACCTCCTTGAATCTCAACGAGCGCCCAAGAAAAGGAGCCAGCCATTACATATTCTCAGAACTATTCTTCTTCCTAGTATTCTTATTACCATGTTTCAGCTAATGTTTGAATACTCTCTCTGTCGTACATAACATATGTTATATTCTATATTTATTGTTATAAGGCATATATTATAGACATGTCTATATGTATAGTTGCAGTGAAATCTGACATGTGCTGCATGCGGTACCATGTCTTATCTCGGACGAATCTCGTGCCTTTAAAACTCTTGTCCGGAAATACTAAGTCAGTGCAGCAGTACGACTGGTCCGCATGCGCGACTGACAAGCTAAAGGATGCGGGGATATTCTGAGTCGCACCACGCCTACTCCGACCGGGCAGCGTGGAGACAAACGGACACCAGCCAAAAATGCATCGCTTTAAATTTTGAAATGACGGAGCCTTAGAGATGCTGTCATCTCTAGTCACCAGTCGGCCCTTGCTGGGTCCGGCTTGCGGCCGGGCGCGCACTTGTTGCCACACCCGCCCGCAGCTTTACAACAATTCCCCAACCCAGCAGTCCACTGTAGTGCACTCAGCGATACTCAGCGCACTCCGCATTAGCGAGGTATCAAGCAGCCCAGCTGGCGGCCATCTTCACAAATGTCCTGGCTTCTGCGGATATTGCTTTCGCAGCAAAAGTCGGCACTTCCCTGAAACCTGCGGCTGCAACCATCTCCGCCGCAACTTCCGCACCGGTTGGCACAGCAGGCATTGGATCTGCCACCGTGCCTGATCCCCAAGGCACAACGACCCTCCAACCTGCCAAGGCAGACCAATGACGACCGACCGCTAGCATCACAGCCCACGCGCCGGGTGTAGAAACCGAGGCTGTCCATTCGATTTCCTGCCGACCCCAGGAAGCCAGCGAGGATCGAGCCGTCTGGGAAGTCGTACACTGAGCGACTGCCGCGCTCCGCGCCGTTCAGGGCACCTGTTACCACTCTTCCTGGGACGTTGGAGCGCAGGTCGAAGCGCAGGCCGAAGATCTCGCGGTCGTTGTGCCACACCTGAACTCGGCGGATGGCGTCCACAGTACCTGTTTGGAGAATCCTTCGGGTGCCCCGCTCATTTCCACGCACACTCCCCATTCTCGAGCACGCCTCGATCTGAAGGCCGCGGATGGTCCTGGAGTCGGACCAAATGCGGATAAAGGTGGGGCGCTGCCGGCAATTCAGGTTGCTCAGGAAGTCGGAATCATCGAAGGCAGTGCCTGCAGTAGGGCGCCCGAAGACCTGTGAGGGCCGCAGCTCCAGAGCCACCCCGGCCAACATGCCAGGTGGAGCGATCGAGCGGCAAGAGTCCACGGCATTGGCTGTGCTGATTCCGGCGCTTGCGAAGGACAGCAAGACCTCCCAAAAGGGGGCATACATGGACATGTCAGCCAACGGCTACCTGAAAGTCAGTGCTTAAGAACCCCCCCCCCCCCCCCCCCCGGTCCCTCCCCAAAAGCTGCTACTACTACTACTACTACTACTACTACTACTACTACTACTACTACTACTACTACTACTACTACTACTACTACTACTACTACTACTACTACTACTACTACTACTACTACTACTACTACTACTACTACTACTACTACCACCACCACCACCACCACCTGGGTCCCCACCTGGACGACCCTGGCGGTAAAGGCCAGGCCGCCGCTGAAGAGCCACACAGCCCACTGTGCGGCGATGGCGATCCCCTGAAGAAGCCACTGATACCAGCTCAGCCCTCCAGTCCTGGGACTCTTTTTTACCTACAGTTGAGTAGTAATTGCCATTATGAAAAGTAGGTATGACCCATAAATAACCCTTAATTAGTCGGCATGACCCATAGAACTGTAGGTAGACCGCGGTAAACCAGGGGTCACAGCGTTAATGATGGCCCGCAGACCAAACGCCGTCGCGGCCTCTCAGGGGGGAAAGGAGAGGGCTGTAAACGAAAGAGCCGCGAGCTGCGAAGTGGGGGCTGTTAAATTCAAACCTTTCAAGTAGGGTTAGGGTCGCAGGAGAGCCGGAACACAAGAGTCGAGAACAGGAGGAGCCCGAACGAATTTCCGGCCTCGGACATGAAGCCCCACATTGCAGAAGCGAGGTCGAGAGCAAGCACCTCTCGGCTGCCCCCACTCAGGTGCGCTTGGAACGCGGCAAAGGCATCCAGGAAGAAGCGCACAACTGATCCAAGATTCTCCTGAATGCGACCGATCAGTCCATCGGCATTGGCAAGCCCAAACTCCACGACAAAGCCGATGAGAGACATGATGCCACTGCCCCAAGCAATGATCGCCTGAGCAACGGCGCCAATGCAGCCGTTCGACTGGAGGGAGCGGTTTACCTGCAGGCAGCGCATGTGTCTAGCTGTGCGCCAGAGTGGAAGATGATCACAGGTCAAGAAATGCGTTGCTCTCCCTGAATGGCATGAGATGCCTATAATGACTAAAGTCCAACTAACAAGTGTTTTTGCACTGCGCTGCCTGCAGAAGTCTCCCAGGCCGGAATGCCACCTGGCCAAAGGCCGCGCCGCTGACCCCGGCGTCGACGCGCTGCTCGCGGAAGACGCCGGAGCTCGACGGAGGATCTTCGCCGGTCATGACCGCCTTCATGATCTCGTCCTTGTGCTGCCGCAAGGACTCCTCCTCCTCAGGGAACCAGAGCATTAAGAGCTCCATGCCTGCTTCCTCCTGCGCATCTGTGGGCACGATGCAGTTCAGGGGCATCTTGCCGGTGCACAGGATGCCTTCCATGGCAATGTCCTCCAGGCAGCAGCCTTGCTCCTTCCAGTACAAGACTTGTACAAGATGACGAGAAAAGAGTCGAAGAATGCCCCGGAATTTTGGGAACTGTTTTCCGTATCGGGCTTAGCCTAGGTTAAGTGTCCCAAAAGTCCTTGTCAGCATCAGTGCAGGTGCCGTCACAGGCACAACCCGCTTTGCAACACAGCTGCTGGCTCTGGTACGTGACCTGCAGCCCACCGCTCCCTTCCAGGCAGAAGCTCGGCCGCACGCACGTTTCCGTAGTGCACGACGCAGCCGTGGCCCGGGATGATTGGAGCGCCACCAGCAGGCACAGCACAAGAACCATGATGTCAGCGGCCCAGCGCAGAAGCGACAGCTTCAAATGCTGTGATCCAAAAAGACGGTCACCAAGAGCTACAATCTAGAGCACGTGCCAGTGGCATGCAAGGGATGGCAAAGTCCGTACACACCGCAACATGCCGTCAATAGGTCAGCAGCTGTCGGTGTGCTTCTTCCACCAAAGCCTGACTCCTCTAAACACCGACTCTTGAAGCAAACTTCCGCGTTGCGAAACGACTGCTCGATGAACAAGTTCTTTAATGCATCTTGATCCCTTGCCTGGACGACCGTTTCTAATTTTGCAGACCTTACATCTGGTCTCTGGATCGTCCTGCAACAAAAGAAGAGTCTGAGCCCGTGACAGTGAGCTGCCTCTTCCAGGAACTCTGCTCGCTACCCTTAGGAGCCAATTGAAAATCTGGCACGTTGAAGCGTAGTTCAGGTCGCACGTTCACAAGGCGCATGAGCACAACTGTGCCGATCATGATACTGTAGTCAGAGCTAGCTCAACGAAAGCCGCCCCAGTGAATTGCCGATGCTGTAACGGATCGCGTTGCTAGACGCTGATCCATCTGACGCCGAGGCCCTGACCCATATCGGCCAGGGTATACCGTATGCAGTCTACCTTGGTCTGTTCGGATGTGCAGTATGGGTATGCCTAGCAGGGCCTAGCAGCCACCGAAGTGGTCGCATTCTTTCCTGTTGAACTCTTAGGCGGAGTGCAAGCTTCTCGACAGATGTCAGAGCGTGCTGTGGCCGAACCTAATACAGGTGCCGTAATGATTAGAATGGGGTTTGGGGTTGTTATAGTATAGTAGTGTAGGGACCATAAGCGATCATTGTTACAAATTATTCCGACCCCTGTAGTAGACGCCTCATGAACCACCACGCGGCCCAACAAGGCCCAGGCTCCATGTGCATCAAGGGCTTGGAGAATCTGGTTTCGCAGACCATGCCTGGGAGCAGCCGATCAGTGCCTGAACAGTTTAGCCAATATGGATCGAAGATCCAGACCTCTCTTTTGCCAGTCCGAACTGGCACTACGTACCATTGCTGTCACTACAACCACCACCACGCCGCCACCACGCCGCCACCGCCACCGCCACCACCACCACCACCAAGTTAGAAACCGACTGCCTCGCCTCCGTCAGCATCGTGCAGGACTCCGCTGCTGGTGCCCGATGCCATGGCCAGGCGGGCGGTGCAAGGACTCAGCCTTCCTTCAGCCTCTAGCCACGATGTAGAAAGTTCTTCATTAGGTGTTGAAACTTCGGGTCGTAACCGAAGCCTGGACTACGGGAGGAGTCTGCTTCGAGGTGGACACTGATTCAAGCTCCAGTGCATGTCCGGGATCGTGCACAGGAGCCTGGTGCCAACTGCACGCTATGAAGTGTGTGGGTATGCCGCTTTGCCCCCCCCCCTTCTCTGGGCAATGAAAGGACGTCCGTGACTCAAGACCCGGCAGAAGACCCTAACACCTAAACCCTCAACCCTAAAAGCAAGATGAGAAAGCCGAGCCTGCCACAGAGCAAGCGGATGTATGGAGACAACCAACCTCGATGTGGCCGCGAACTCTCACGTTTAGTGCGTGTGGGTGGATCTCTGAATGGCCGGAGAATTAAATTAGGATCTTTTTTTGTTGTTGTTGGTGATTTTTTTTGTTTTTTGCTTTCTGCTACTACTATTTAGGGTTTAGCGTTTAGGGTTTCGGGTTTAGGGCTTAGGGTCTAGGGTTTAGGGTTTAGGGTTTAGGGTTTAGGGTTTAGAAGACAAAACACAAAAAACCCAAAAAAAGAACAACAACAATCCTAAAAAAAAATAGACCCCCTCTCTGAATTAGGGTCACTTCTTGGCAGTCCCTGTTTAAAGGGTGTCACCTTATAATGGGTACCCAAACAGGGGCCCTAATTTAGGAAACTGCCGGTACCCATGTGCAGGTGGACCAACGACTCCGCCCAAACTAAACAGCCTCCTTCCGGTGCCAGAGCAGCTTCCCAAGGCTCCGGCAGAATGCCAGACGGAGCGAGTGCCACGCGGACATTGTGCAGGGCACTGATCACCAGTGTCACCCTTGCGAGGGTTCAGGTCTTTTAGGGGACACGGCTCTGATGAGCAGCAGGGATAGAATGAGCTTGCCCGCTTTTGAAACGACCAAGCCCATGTGCAGATATCGGATGCAGACCAGGCCTGACTCATTCGGCTTCCCAGGCATTAGTCTCAACGCCCTCCTCGGGCCCGCGCTCGCCGCAAAGAAGATAGTCCAAGGTCCCCTTGTCCACCGCCTTGTGCTTCTGCACTGCAGATACTGTCAAGGTGCCAAGTACATGCTCGGCAAAAGGTCAGCCATAGACTCCCAACACACACTCGGGGGGAACCTGCTCCTTGATTTGCGGGTGTTGCGATGAATCGGTCAGGATCGTGTGGTTCTATCTCGGCGGCATCCTACAACATCGACCACGACTGTCTATTCTACCCGCTAAACAGTCTTGTAACCCGTGCTTGCTGACAACTGGGAAAGAGTCCTCGGCCGCGGGCCATGTCGAAGAAGGCTTCTTCCAGTTCGGTCCTGGGTTTATGGTCGTTTGGGGGCGCAGGAATTAGGGCTTATATATAGGGCTAGGTTAGCCGGGGATTCTTCTTCGTTTAAGACTCTAGGAAGGGTTTCGGGAGCCTCAAGCATGACCAGTCGAGCAAGTTCACACACGTCATGGGCGACGACGGCATCTCGCTGCCGAATGCATCGTCGACTTGTCTACATCTGCAAGGCCCCCCAAGACAAATTGTGTATTTCCCGAGCGTGATGCTTGAGCTGCGACAAATGCCGCACGTCTCAGATGCCAACCCTACCCACTTCCAACATTCCCTTCAACCCCGGGGCGATCCTCCCTGCAGCGATGTTCACCACGCCCCAGGAGAGGCCTCCGTTGTAGGTAACTTCTGCTGAAGGCACAAATTTGAATCGCGGCTCCTACGGTAAGACTTGCTGAGCATGATGTTAAGTGGCGCTTCATGCCTTTCGGCGTTTTGGGCAGATGACCTGCCAGCATCGGTCGCACTTACACAACGCCCCTAACGCTTGAATTGTGGAGCTGTTCATGCATTTTGCCGTTTGGGAAGTTCCTGATGTCTTGGCTCAGAATGGCGGTCTCAGCTCGCCACCTTCGCAGGCAGCATGCTCAGCTTGCATGGCTTGGATAACCTCCTCGGCAGACATGTTTAGCGATTCTATACAGCGTCCTGTTTGGAGTTTGGAGCCGCAAGTGCAGAGTGCAGAGAAAGCGATTGCCTGTTTCGAGGGCTTACTTTCAGTAGTTGTGGTTGCCAAATATCGGAACTGGAACCGACATGTTGTATCTGTGCGCAGAAACTTGCTGCGGGGCTCCCGCAGGCGAGAACATTAGGCATAGGAGGACTCGGAAGATTGCGAGCATTGCTAACATGAAGCCCAATCGACAAGCAAACATAACGCAGGTATAGTTGTAATCAGAGCATTAATGGCAGTACTAGTAGCAAAGTAATATTCGCAAAAAAGATAACAAAGTAGTAGTAGTAGTAGTAGTAGTAGTAGTAGTAGTAGTAGTAGTAGTAGTAGTAGTAGTAGTAGTAGTAGTAGTAGTAGTAGGAGTAGGAGTAGGAGTAGTAGTAGTAGTAGTAGTAGTAGTAGTAGTAGTAGTAGTAGTAGTAGTAGTAGTAGTTAGTAGTAGTTAGTAGTAGTTAGTAGTAGTTAGTAGTAGTTAGTAGTAGTTAGTAGTAGTTAGTAGTAGTTAGTAGTAGTTAGTGGTAGTTAGTGGTAGTTAGTAGTAGTTAGTAGTAGTTAGTAGTAGTTAGTAGTAGCTAGTAGTAGCTAGTAGTAGTTAGTAGTAGTTAGTAGTAGTTAGTAGTAGTTAGTAGTAGTTAGTAGTAGTTAGTAGTAGTTAGTAGTAGTTAGTAGTAGTTAGTAGTCGTTAGTAGTAGTTAGTAGTATTAGTAGTATTAGTAGTAGTAGTAGTAGTAGTAGTAGTAGCAGTAGTAATGTTGCACCCGCAATATTCTAGGGGGACGCTATTATGAAAAGTTTTCCGGCTATTCAGGATCTGGACCCTTTGTTTTGGGGGTCCGCTATAATGAAAAGATTTCGGGCCGGGCCTGTTTTTTTTAATGGTTTTTGAGTCAAGTTCCCAGATCCCAAACTAAGAAGAGAGCTCATTTCTCTGCCCCCCCCCCCCCCCCCCGACTGTTTGGGGTCTTTTTTTATTCAGGGTCGCGACTGTTGAGGGGGGGGGGGGGGGTTACATTATTAAAGCAGGTCCAACATTAGTAGAAGTAGTAGTGCTACTACTAGTAGTAGTAGTAGTAGTAGTAGTAGTCGTCGTAGTAGTCGTCGTCGTCGTAGTAGTAGTAGTAGTAATAGTAGTAGTAGTAGTAGTAGTACTACTACTACTACTACTAGTAGTAGCAGTAGTAGTAGTAGTAGTAGTAGTAGTAAAATAGTACTGCTAGCACTACTTGTAGGGAGTTTCCACGAGTTTCTGGGTTGTTGGACTCCCGCCACAACTCTCCCAGTGTCCCAGCTCCTCGTCGATGTCCACGGCATGCACCCTGCCAAACGCGTCAAAGTGATCTAGGGCATAGGGTTTAGGGGGGCTACGCTGGCCAATGAAACATTACATTCTATTCTGCTATAGTACATTAGAATATATGTATATATATATATATATGTTTCATATTCTACTGAGAAAATGTGATGGCATCTTCTCGTCTGCAACTGACCTTCGGCCTTTGGCCCACATCTCCCTGGCCAGGCTAGAGGTCCCGCAGCCCACGTCCAACCTTTGTTGAGACAAGGTGTGCTGTGGAAGGATTCCAGGGTATGGGTATCCCCCAAATCTACTATAACCCTCCCTCCCGCTGCCCTCCCCCTCCCCCCCAAAACAAAGGAATTATAGTTGTACGGTTCTAGCCCTGAATTTAGGATTTGCCTTGGCCTGTCGAGGGAGGTGAGCTTTGCGGCATATTCCAGAAATCAGGGTTGGGTCAGCCGGCGCCGAAAAAAACCTTTAAGCTGCATGCCACGTGGCACACGGAGGCTCGTGTCCTGCTGGATCATGGGTTTTTATCGACTCCAGAATGGACCCTGATGTCTTGCACTGATGTCATCAGATGCTTGCAATGACTCAAGCAATCTTGTTCGCGCTGTGTCGACGGCGATTCGCGTGAAGCAGAGAAAGAAGTTCAGATTCACCGATCTCGGACTCCTCCACGGCGCCTGGGCGACGTGCAAGCTCCTCCGCCTGTCGGAGAGGCTTGGGATCTTCGAGCTTATAGGAAGTTTGGGATCTTCGAGCTCATAAGGAGTAGGTGGCTGCCAGGGTTTCCAGATCTTGTCCGGCTCGGCTGAGCTTCACGAATGGAAGTGGGGATGTGGGCCATCGTGCGCGCAAGAGAAGGTTCTGTTCTTCCTACTTAGAAGAAGAGCTCAGGTTTCCTGCGCTTGCTGGGGATCTGGGCCTGCGCTGGCAGAACTGCAAGGCTTGCAGGTTCCAGCAACATGTCCGTTCCCCACAGCCAGCTTCCTTTCGGCGCTGATCTAGACGACATATGCTAGAGCACGCAGGAACATAGATGCCCGTTTGGGGCACACTCAATGCCGTATACTCTCCAATCGGCCCGTGACTCGTTATCGCCAGACACGAGCGGACTCCACAATCTGCTCATGTTGACAACGCTAGACCACAATTCTTGAAGCTCAGGCCCAGCCCTCGCGATTAATTAACTTGCCCTAGACCTTCTTGATACCAAGCATGGCTCCATTTGCTATAGAACAAATACAGCCCTGTGGGACGGTGCAGGACAAGCACCCTGCTCCTGGTCCTGCCTCCTCCAGAATCGGATGGAGCTTCTCATAACCCTCGCACCACTCCTCAGCCATCCAAGCGGAACAAGGTGCTGAGTCGTGCAGGGCTTAGTGTTCTGGCTTAGATCTGAGACTTAAGGGTGAAAGAAGGGCTTCAGGCGCTGGTTGAACAGAGTGGCAAACATCCGGCCGCAGGGCCCATGGGCGCGCGGCGCATCCCTGCACCCCCGAAGACCGGCTACTAGAGGAGAGGGTTCTTCTTCGGAAGGCAGGATGTTATAAGACTTAGAAGGCCAAGGTCCCTACCGGCACTAGGTCCTCACGACATGCTCTCAAAGTGCTTGCCATCATGTTACATGTTGGAGCAGCGTGGTCTGTGTGTGCTTCCCGGCACTGAGATCGCCAGGCAGCTTCGAGCCGGACCACTCTGTCTTTGCAGATTTGCGCTCGTCGGGCTTTGGGGGAATCTCGGAGGCAGCCAAGTCACGTGACATGAACAACCCTAAACCCTAAACCCTAAACCCTAAACCCTAAACACTTGGACTTGGTTCCACATGATTCCACATGCCCCACTGTGTAGATGCATGTGATCTGGCATGTACCCCCTGACGCATTCATACTCTGGGCTGTGTGGTGCGGCTCTTAAACCCTTTTTGAAAAGTGAAAAATGCTAGTATATGGGGCCCCTTATCAACCCAAGTAAGAAAAGTATTGAAATATCCAAGCGACAAAAAGACATGCGGCTTATCGACATGGGCAGCTTCCCCCGAGCCTGGAAACAGCCGATTCTTGCATCGCGGCGCGGCGAAGCTACAATGCGACCCTTCAAACCTTATCAACCCCAAGCCCGGTACTCTCACAGGAACCGCAACTGCTAATTGTTTCCCCTTTATCTTAGAACCCAACCCTGCTCGGAGCTCCTCACAGCTAGATACCCCGAGCTGCAACATCACCCCTGCGCCCTCCGCTCGTGTGCTTTTTCGCCAGGAAAAGAGCAGTGATGCCAACATCCCCTCCAGCCACAAGTGGAGCCACAAAGTGAGGTCACAAAGTGGGGCCACAAGCGGTTTCGTGAAGCCGAGCTCCGGAATTTGGTGTGAGAAAGGGGCTATATACGGCAAGTAGTACTTGCCCTTTTCTGCCCCCTTTTCAAGGGCTATATAGGGGGGGGGGGGGGGGGCGTTGGAGAGCCGCTTCCCCGAGCTGAGCTTCTGGCTATGCCAAACACTAGATTGCGCCTCATGGTTCAGCGGTTAGAGGGTTTATCGGGTTTACAGGGTTGAGGGTTCCCTGTGCTTGCCTTTGGGAGTGAGGCGACGAGTGGAGAAGGCCTGGGGCGCATTCTAGTTTGCACTGGTCGCCATCCCGGCGATGTGTTACGAATCGCAAGCTATAGTATTGCAGGCGATGCTGCGCGTCTGGCAAAAAAACCGTGCCGAATACAATACCTCGGCCAGGAACATGTCTATTGTAGGAGCCATAATTGGCATAGGTTTTTTTTTTTTTTTTTTTTTTTTTTTTTTTTTTGGGGGGGGGGGGGGGTTGTTTTAGTATGTTTTTCCTGGGCCCATAAAAAGAATACTACTAGTATTTATTCCGACCCCTATTTTAGGACCTGTCCGCAAGCCTTCTTAGAGGAGCTGAAGGGAGAGAGGTCGTCAAGTTCTCCGCATCTTCTCAGAAGCCCTTCCCTCTTCCTTCTTACCAAGCAAGAGTGCCCTAAACCTTAAACCCTATAAACCCTAAACCCTAAACCCCTTCGCATTCTTTCTGGGTCTGCAAGGTCCGGCCTGATTTTGGCTCAGAATGCCTGAATCTGTACCCTGAAGTAACTGATCAACACCTGGGCATGAAAAATACAAGTATATGTATGTATGCGTTCTTATGTACTATACACTTCCACAGTAGAATATACAGTACTGCTGTATACAAAATTGCCGTTTCTCACACACAAATGAAAATATTCACTGTTTTTGGCAGCATCGTCTTGTGATCGCCTGAGAGGTCCAGCCCAAGGTCACCATCCGGCCCTGTCATGTACGCACACACACATGGCCAACCCGGCCTGGTTCTTTGCACCACTTGATAATCCGGCCCTGCGTACACCCATCAGCTGGCAATTCGGCCCTATGTACCCTGACTCTGCGACTCCCCCCCCCAATCCTTTACACCCAACCTGACCCCAAAAAGAGGGTTGAGGTTTAGGGTTTCCCATCCTTTACACCCAACCTGACCCCAAAACGAGGGTTGAGGGTTTAGGGTGTGACACTGTATCCCAAGCCCCATCTCAAGGCATCCTCACAGGAAGCCTCGCCCCTGACAACCCTCGAAAGCCTACAATGTACTAAACCCTA